TCATTTTGGTCATTATCAGAGGCCGACTCACCAGATGTAGTGTCAATGGTGACTATTCGGGGTTTGCTAATTCTTTTACGTGGCCTTCTTGGTCTTTGTATGTTACTGCCAGTTAGCCATCTGTAAACACGGTGGTCCAAATAGTCTTGATGGACTCTTTCAAATTTCAATTGTTTGAACTTAATCAATTCATTTTTATATTTTAATAAATCTTCTTGTAATTTATGCAACAGTCTCTGCCCTTCTGTGGAAGCTAACAATAAAGCATGTTCGGTTTCTACTTCCAAAATCTTTTTATCAACGTCGACTAGATCTTCTTTGACATCTTTGATAATAATTAGCATCATATCAAGTGATGCTTTGTTGAGTACCATAGTCCACTCTTTGCAAACCTTTGCCTTACCCCTGCCAATCATGGGAATATTCAAGATTCTGAACCCTCTAGGAATTCTCTTAGCTTTATAGTAGTCCGAAAGGAACAGGCCGTGCATATCCAAATCAATCCTTTTTCTGCGTAATCTTGAAAGCTTGAAATAAACATCTTTAGCAGTAAAATTGTTGGGCAATTCTAAACCTGTTTGTTCCCATAATATGGTCTCTGCTTGCTCCTGTGTAAATTGTATAGTGTCTGCTTGCTCAGAATATGCTCCAGCTTGAAAAAAAAAATTCATCCATACTGATGGTTTAGTAGATAAGCCACCCAAAAAAATTTTCAATTTAAAAACGTCTTAATTAATCAAGTTGGTTAGGGATTGCCACACTATTAACTAGTGGTTACTTCCAATATTAAGAAAATGCTGGTGCAAGGAACAGGTTATAGCCAATAACCATAGCATAAACAAAAAAACAAAATAGTTCCTGCACTCACGCTAATTCATCCTTAGGTGACCGGGTGCCAGCCCCATATAGCTAGTGTATCCAGAAAAACCAAGTAGATGGCTGCACTCACGGTTCTGTGTAAAAGTCCAAAGTTTATTGAAGATGCATAAAAAAACTTGCGATCAATGTTTCAGTCCTTCTAAGAGGACTTTCTTCAGGATCATAAAAGCAAGTATCAAACATACAGCATTTTTATATAAGACATAATTAATTAGATAAAAAAATTAATTAAGTGAATAAGCTTACCCCAGGTGAACATCGCCGTCTGACCGGCGCCCCTGTATCTCCAGTGCGCATGTGCAAGTATGTTCTGCCCAACATAGTGACGTCATGATACGCCGACGTGACTGTCCGTTACCATAGCGACGCAAGCATGCAAAACGTCGCTATGGAAATAAAGTAAAACGGACATATGAAACATAAGTGTTTGTAAGGGCACCGTGATTAGAGTAATCAGTATGGCTGATAACTGTTATATATAGTGTATTCAATTAAGTGAAAAAATATATATATATTGAATAATAATCAGGAGTCCAAAAAGTAAGTCCAAAAGAGTCTATGCATGATAAATACAGCAAAAAGTCCAAATAAAACCCTGTATAAGAAGTCAATCACAATCTTGTCAGGGGAAGTATTCCTCAGTAAGGTATGGGCATTGAATATTCGTGAGATCCGTATGAAAAAAATAAAAAGACAGCAAATAATGGTGCAGTATATCCCAACATGTATCAAGTACTATTTTGTAAGAGGTCTATGTAGTCCTACTCACGTTTTCCAGAGCTATAAAACTAGCTTTAGTGTGGATGGTATACAGTGGTACAATCCCCACTTAATGGATGCATGAAGTTTTGTAGTAGATGGATATCTTGTTAGTATAAGGACCATATGAAATATAAAAGAAAGAATAATCCCCAGAGACAGGGGAGGAAAAGGCTAACACTCCGGCTAACTCTCCACTTCCGTGCCGGTTCCCCTCTAACGAGCTAGGTGGGCGCAACGCGCGCATCAGGGGATTTAGGGCTCTATAGATGCCGTCTTTTTTATTATTACCAGCGATATTTCTGATTGTCTTTTTGTCATTTCACATTTATCTGCAGTTGGGATAGTTATGGGTGCCCTCGAAGGCACGGGGGTGGAGAGTTAGCCGGAGTGTTAGCCCTTTCCTCCCCTGTCTCTGGTTAGTCTGCAGCCAGTATAGGCTGCTAACATACTTGCAATATTTACCACAGACCCTTAACGTGCTACTAACATAGTTACATTCCAATCTCTATAGGATCTCCACACAAGGCATTTTGGCTATATTTTCATCTATATCTATTTTTTCTCTGTTATCAGTTTATCCAGTTTATTGCAATTAGACTTTGTGGTTAGATTCCTATTATGTTCTAATGATTATATGTCTAAGCACTAGGGTTCTGGACTATTAGAACTTCAGTAGTACCTTGCTTTTTAATTATACAGGACCTATTGATATTTTTCTATATCTAAACAATAGTACTAAGGTCTAGGTAGTACATACTATTTTTCTTCATGTTTATACAATCTCTCCCCAACAGCGCAGACGTGCGCAGCAGTTTATTGTACATAGATTTTTCAGGACATCAGAATTTATTATATCAACTATATTTTCTATTTCTTTTTCTTTTGTTTTCATTTTTTCAACCTTTTAGTATCGATATCCAATAAAATTGTTATTGTTTTTGGACCTCTTCGACCTCTTTTATATCAGCCATTTTATCTTCAATTTTTTCATGAAGTTTAGGCTATTGTTGGTTTCTCCCAATTTTTAGTTACACTCTCTCTTTGTTTGTTGTCTATTTCCACTTGGGGTTACCCCCCAGCATTTAGTGTACATTTGGCTGTATTAAATTAGTCTTTAATCAGTTTGTGCAGGTGATGCATTGTGTTTGTGTGTAGTGGAAGCAGTGTGTATTTGTGTATAAGGGATGTATTGTGTGTTTCTGGTTGTGTGTAAGGGATGCATCGCATGAATCTGTGTTTGTATGCATAAGGGATGCAAGGTGTGTGTCTGTAAGTGTGTGCATTGAGTGTGTGTTAGAGATGCATTGTGTTTCTGTGTGTATGTAAGAAAAGCAGTGTGTGTGTAAGGGTTTGCATTGTGTGTTCCTGTGTATGTGTGCAAAGAATGCATTGTCTTTGTGTGTAAGGGTTGCATTGTGTGTGTGTAATGGATGCATTGTGTGTTTCTCTGTGTGTAAGGGAAGCATGTTGTGTTTCTCTGTGTGTAGGGATGTATTGTGTGTTTCTGTGTATGTATAGGGATGCATTGTGTGTGTGTGTGTGTGTGTGTGTGTGTGCGCGTAGTGTGAAAGAGCTCCCTGTCTTGCCCCCTGTCCTATAGAGCTGTCCCTTCTGTCCCTTAGAGCTCTCCCCTGCCCCTTAGTGGTCTCTCCTCTCCCCCACCCTCCCTGTGCTCTTCTCATCCACCCTCCCTGTGTTCTCCTCACCTCCCCCCTCCCTGTGTTCTTCTTATCCGCTCTCCTCCCTGTGTCCTCCTCACCTCCCCCTCCCTGTGTTCTCCTCACCACCCACCCTCCCTGTGTTCTTCTCAGTCCCCCCTTCTCCTCATCTCCCCTTCTCCTCACCTTACTCTCCCCCTCCTCCTTGTGTTCTTCTCACTCCCCCCTTGTTCTTCTTACCCCCCATTTTTCATACCCCCTTCTTCTTACCTCCCCCTCCTTCACCTCTCCTCACCTCCACCTCTCCTCCCCCCTCTTCACCTCTCCTCCCCTCCCCTTCACCTCCTCCTCCCCTTCACCTCTCCTCCCCTCTTCACCTCCTCCTCCCTTTCTCTCCCTCCCTTCACCTCTCCTCCCCCCCTTCCTCTCCTCTTCACCTCTCCTCCCCCCACCTCTCCCTCCCACCCTTCACCTCTCCTCCCCCCTTCACCTCTCCTCCTCTTCTCTCCTCCCCTTCACCTCTCCTCTCCCCTTCACTCCCCTTCACCCTCTCCTCCTCCCTCTTCACCTCTCCTCCCCCTTCCTCTCCTCCCCCCCAGCCTCTCCTTCCTCATGCCTCTCCTCCCCCCTTCCTCTCTCCCCCTTCACCTGCTCCCCCTTCCTCTCTCTTCCCTCTTCACCTCTCCTCCCCTTCACCTCCTCCTTCCCCTTCCTCTCCTCTCCCCTCTTCACCTCTCCTCTCCCTCCTTCTTCACCTCACCTCTCCTCCCCTCTCCCCTTCACCTCTCCTCCCCTCCCCTGTAGCGTGGCCGAGCTGCTCTGCTGTCCGCGGTGCCCGGCCGGACTGATAGGAAGGAGTGTGCACTTCCTGTCAGTCCGACCGGTTACAGGAAACAGAAACTCCTGTTCCGCGCTTTGTTTCTGTTTCCTGTAACCGGTCGGACTGACAGGAAGTGCACACTCCTTCCTATCAGTCCGGCCGGGCACCGCGGACCGGAGAGCAGCTCGGCCACGCTACGAGGGGGGGGAGACAGCCGCAGCCGCCTGAGGCTCTTAACAGAGTGCTCAGGCAGCTGCAGCATTTAAAGGGCCGGCCCTGCAGCGGCCGGTCCTAACAGAATTTAGGGCGGCCTAGGGGGTAATTGCCTCGCTGCCCCCCGGCCCAGCCCGCCCCTGCTAATATGTCTGACACATGTTTCATTGCCCTCCCTAATATGGCTGAAACATGTTCTATAATAAAGTTATAAAAAACATTTTTTAAAATGGTCATGAGACCATGACGTCATTTTGGTGCCAAAATTTTCAGGTACATGTTTTTCTCCAATTGAGAAAGCCCAAAGGGGAGCAACGCATTTTTGGTATTTTAATTGCTGTATATATTAAAGGTATTTTGTCCACTTTCAACTTGTAAATCAACCATTTTACTCTTTTATTTATTTATTTATTTATTTTGAACTTTATTTTTACCTGGCACCAGAGTTTTTATTGTCCCAGTGAGAATTTTACTCCAAAGATGGGGATAATCCCCTTGGTGGGGACAATACCACTAAAGCTTTACTTATTGAGCAGTCTATTTGTGTCCATCAAGTTCAGCTTTTCTCACATATGTTTTTGCTGTTGATCCAAAAGAATGCAAAAAAAAAACAGTCTGAAGTGCTTCCAATATGGCAACAAACTAGGAAAAAAATATCTTCTTGACTCCAGGATGGCAGTCGGATTTTATCCTTGGATCAAGCAGCTATTACCCAACAAATTAAAAATGATGTCATTAAATATTCTGTTTGTGCAAGTATTCATCCATTTGCTGTTTAAACATCTGTACGCACTCTGATAAAACCACTTCTTCAGGCAAGAATTCCACATCCTTATTGTTCTTACCGTTAAAAAAAAAACCTTATCTTTGCATTAGACTAAATCTTCTTTCTTCCGGTCTAAATGCGTTACCTAGTGTCCTATGTATAGTCCTGCTTATAGTCCTGAAACAGTGCTCCCTGCAGGGTCTACCCTCAGTGGGCCGGCTTATATAATGGACAGGTAGCCTGGCGTGCATTCTTGCTAGGCTGACCTTCCATTAACTTTGGAGTATCCGCCCCCTCTTGAGATGGATCCTTTCCTTCACATCACTGGTCCGCCCCTTTTACCTTCCTCCCACAGGCATCTCGATTTGCAAGACGTCGGTATTGTGAGATATTTTGTTGGTTTAAACTCCTGGTTTTGAACACCTACTTAAATGAGATTACTTTCAACCAACTCCGAATGAGCAAGTTCAGTGAGGCAGCTGTGGGTTTATACAGGTATTCAATAATTTTATAACGTGACAGGAGGCTTCATATTCTGCACAATCTTTCCCCACCCACTCCACAGCAGCAAAAGAAAAAAGCAAAAGAAAACCCAGGACCAACTAAATTCAAGCCGCGACCACAAAAGGAGCAGCCAACAGCACCACCCTCTCTTTCTTTGCTGCTCCATTACAAGATAAGTACTGAGTGTATTTCCTCTTTGTACTTTTGCTATTATTCTGTAAATTTTCTATTATTGTTCTGTTAGAAATTATTAGTTTCTAGCTGATTATTTTGTTGTTTTTCGTTATTTGGGGACTTGAGGGTCTCCTATCCCGTCCCTCAGCCTGCCTCCGGTTCGCTGGGGTCTCGGGACGTCAACCTCAGGCTACACGTTTGCGGTGGGGTGCGGCGCTGCACTTTCCTGTGCGAATACTAAGGCACGTTCGGCTACTTTCCACCGAACACGCCTCATTCATCCCACGAATGTCCGCTAGCGCAAACGTTTGGGACTTGTTTTCTCCTTCACGTGCGCACGCGGTTTATTTGCTGTGCGTTTGCACGTACTTACTCCCGAACGCCTAACCGTTCGTCCCTGTAACCGGCCAGGCAATGGCTTGCGTGGGTCACTTAATTCGTGCCCCACCCCGTGCCTTATATATGTAGTTGGGCTGCTGAGTTTGCATTGATGTGCATAGTGTGGAGCTTTATGCTAGCTTGCCGTTGGGTGGGGTTAGTTTAATATGATCTGGTTGGCTGACCCCCTAGTCTCCAGGTCTTAGAGCGTTAGTGCCTACGGGTCAGTTGCGCTCCGACCTGTTGAGTAGGCGCCGGGCTGCATCTTGGTTCAGGGGCTCCACCAACGGTGTGTGTTGTGGCTCTCATAAACTGTTGGGTGTTATGGGTGTATCTGTTGGTGATGTAGGAGCCATCAGGCTCAGGGAGCGTGTGGTTGATTTTTACATGGGTTGTCATTTCGAATTGGTCTGTCTGAGGTGCTACCCCTCACATCATTTAGTTTCGTTATGTTGAGTTCCCGTGATGTGTTGCCATGTGTTTTGTACTCGTCGTCATGTTTAGGGTGGTAGTACTGTGAGGGAAGTGCAGGGAAGAGGGAATAGGTTCGTCTGGGTTTGGGAGTTTTGTGGATAGCCAGGGTGAGAATGTCAGTCCGCCTCGGCCAGATGGATAGGTGGGTGGAAACAAGAGGGAAAGCTAGTTTTAGGTATGGGTTGGTGGCAGTCCGGCGCGCGGATCCCCCCGTCAGCATCCCCGTCTCCGGCACACGCTAGGTACATATACCATGGGCGCCATCGTTCCGTGTTTTTGTCGCCCAGGTCCAGTAATTCTGCCTGTTTCGCTTCGGTGGACCAGCGATTTGGCTGCGTTGATCAGATGTCGCAGGATCAATGTCACATTGGTGATGTCAAATTCCGGCGTCTCCCCCAGTATCTCCGTTGTGGTGTTTTTAATCGCGTTCCAGTAAGGTATTATCTTAGTGCAGTCCCACCAGATATGTTTTGTGGTCCCTTCTGCAATATCGCACCTCCAGCAGGTGTTAGGTACCGCCGGTAATATCCTGTGAAGTACCATTGCGAAATTCATTTATGGTTTACCTCTTGGTATTTGGAGCTCGTCGAGCTTTTATGCTGCAGTAGATGAATTTTTCCCCATTGGGCTTTGGAGAAGGATTGTGATGTTATCCCTTCCCACTGCCTTTTGAAGGTATCCTTGCGTTCCAGGCTCCCCACCAGTAGCCATTGGTATAGAGTGGATACACTGGAGTCTGTACTGGGTGCGCTCCTGCAGAGCTCTTCAAACCATGTTAGTTCCCTGTGTATGTTCGTTTTGTTTGGTAAGTTGGAATAGAAGTGTTGTAGTTGGGAGTGGCGGAACTGCTGCATAGGGGCTGGTGGTGCACCCTCAGTCAGGTCTCGGAGGTCCCGAACCCCTGTGTTCGTAAGTGTCTGCTGGATAGGTATATGTTCGATTTGATGTGTGAATGTCCAAGCATTGGGGGGTAGTCATCCTCCCAGGTCCTTATTGTATCAGTGGCTAGGTCTCGGAGCAAGATTCTGTTCTAGCCTTACCTTATTTCACTCTTGCAATGTATTTGTGACAGGTGAGGTGCGCATCAGGGCTGTGGTTGCGTCTGCGACTTTATACCAGAGCGATGCATATAATGTGTTATTGGTGCTTGCTTTGTCCAATGTAACCCACAATTTGCGGGTCGGGGTTTTGTGCCATTCTCGTATTCGTTGTAAGACCATGCTTGGTGATATTATTGGAAATCAGGTTGGGATAGTCTGCCCCAGTCTTTCGGGAGGCATAGCCTGTCGTGTCTCAGTCTGGCTCTCTCGCCTCTCCATACATATTGTAGTACTGCCGTTCTTAGTGTGGTGAAGAGATCTCTTGGCAGGCTCAGCGGGATTG